ATGCAGAGCAACACCCTGTCGACTACTCTTTTCATTCACCAACATAATACACTTTTGATGTTGTCTCTCAGCTTTGGCTTCCAAAAAGTGCACCTCGTGGGACATCTTGACGCGCAAGCGCGTCAAGCTGGCTGCGCCCGCCAAAACGCTTATGTCCTACGCGACCGAAAAATCCAAAACGCGCGTTGTCGTCAATGGGTTGAAGTAATGCTTTTTGCAGCGTGGCGGTTCCGATTATTCTTACGCCGATCAAGAAAAAAGAAAGGAAAAAACACAGGAACGAATAAACCAGTGTGTTACTCCCAAACAGATACATGTCTTGATGACGCCAAATAATACAAATAATAATTAATAATAACATATAATATAACAATAATAAATATAATATAATAATAATAACAATAATTGCCTATAAAAGAACTAGCAAGGAATTTCCTACAAGAAAGAAATGATCAGGTAAATCATATTAGTATTCGATATATTACTGATGTAATGATATTGTTAATGTGTGAATTGAATATTTACGCTACAAATACAGGTATGAAAATAATACGGACCCATATCCATTGACATGGTTGAGGAACGCCGGAAATTTTGGAGAGAACGTATCATTTCGAGTAGGAGTTTGAAATTTCCATCGATCATTTATATTTTACTTGTTAGCAACGTTGACTAATATTACGTACATATATAATTTTAGGCTGAAATGCTATACTCTTTTTGGGAGCACTTCTGTTCGGAAGGAAGCAAGAACATGATGGAGTTCAATCGAAATCATAACACATCTGTCAAATTTGTTACGGGGACAAGCTATGAAGCACATTGATATGGAGAAACTTTGCCATGTTGAAATTAAAAGCAATGAATATATGTGCCATGACCAATATAAACTATAATATTTGGCCTATACTTACGCCAAAAAATTCGTAAGGAGTTACTGTGGGAGCATACAGCCTTACCAGAGGCAATTGTAGAGGAACCATACGAGACGACAAAAGATCTGAGGAGTGAAATACTTTGGTGATTACCCATCCGAATGTTATATAATTTACTTGTTGTATAACATAGAAGTGTTATTATATTAGTGTATTCCTTTGTACTTAGTATTTAGAGGTTTGAGTGAATCCTTTTGGCTATTCAGCTTTGTTGGGATCACCGCGATTGAAATGGAGCTCCAATCTAGTTTCTGTTAAATAACTCTGAGTTGCGAAATTATAAGGCGGGGTTTTTTCAATTTTTATATATACAATTGTTATTAAAATTATTGTATTACACATATGTTAATTCGATAAAATGTGAACGATTTAGAGTGGCATACTTAAATGGGGAATTCTTAAATTGGAATCTCTATATTCTTTAGCTAACAAAACGTCTTATGAGGACTCGAATGCAGAGGAAGATATCAACCACATACATGTTGTCTATATGAGTATATCAAAGTTTGGATTCAGAGAACCCGTACGCAAGCCAGGAAACGGGATCACGAAGAAGCCACATCGTTTTTCACAAAAAGGGTAAAGGGTGGCATATAAAAATCATCTAGATTAAAGTCTATAAAGGAGTTTTATGAAAGCTGATATAAAATACCAAAAACCGCCGTCATTTTGGAAAAAAAATTATTTCTGATTGTAAAAACATGAAAAGAACACGTTTTTCGTTCCTTCTGACTATTAAAAAGGTTAATTCAGAAATAGAATTTTTCTTATAAAAGCCTGTGGGCGCTACTTAGGAAATCGCCTTCGGGCATAAAAAAGGCAAGAAGTCGCCTGTGGGCGGTATAAAAGAAATAAGGAGATTGCTAGTGTGCGGTACAGAACGTGAGAGAGCTAAATTAGTATGCGTGATAATTGTGAAATCTAGTGTCTTAAACAGCTAAGAGTGACAATGATTGCAATCAGTTCTTTGGCCAATATTCAGTAAGGAAAAATCAATTCGGTCAATCACTATCAGGGAGAGACATAAGCTATAAGTTGGTGTACAAGAGAAGAAAAAAACGAAAAAATAGTTCGCTTCGCCTCATAATCATACGTACCAATGTAAGTCATCACCCAAGGCTCTCCAGTAGTCAGGTGACAACAAATCTGTCGGCGGCACCGAACAGACTTCCACTGAGCGAGCATCGTTGTTAAAAGACGATGTCCAGCGCTGTCAACGCGTGTATGGCAACGCTGCGTTTTCAACGCACTTCGTTGAACACTGAAAGCGCCAATCGAGGTCGACGATTGGCCCGTACACGTCGCTGTTCCTACTGCACTTTCCCTTATACTCATTCCACTGAACTGCTCCGCCAAACGGACCCCGCTCCGGAGCCCACAAGAGAAGGCGCTCATCTGAACGGAGTATAGAAGACAGGGCTGTTCCTCAATCGAAGTCCCCTTCCCTTAAATTTTCTGCTAGACCAGTATTGACCTTTACATATTCAGATATTGATGTCCCGGGAAACGGAACTTCTCCCCAATTGCGGACGTTCGCTTTGCGGCATGCGGCAAATCTTACTGCAGTGACCCTACTCATCCCTCCTCCCCGCCACTCGATAGAACGCAATATTTTTCTTTGGTTGCCTTTCTTTTATATCAGTTTTGACCGTTTTTTTTTTGTTTCTTTTTCGTTTGCATGTTTATTATGTTTATTAGACCTGATTAGTTGAAATGACTCCTCCTATACTAGCGACGACAAAGACCGCATTGGAACTGGAGGGACTAGTCAAGGCGAATAATTAAAGGACTCCCTACCTCACAAATAGACGCTCCAATCCTCCATCGCAATTCTACGCGGCAGGGGCGGAGAGTGTGACGCTGTGTTCGGGGGAAGACACCGGACCCTGATGTCCCTGTGGAAAATAGCGAGTCTATGAGTAAGTTACAAGCTTTGAATGGCTAACATACACTCAAAACCAAGTCGAAACCAAGCCTATGCGGTTTAAATCAGAGCAGACTCTGGGAAATAGCGGATCTCACTGCACTTGAGCCCATGGATCGTTTCCTTCCTGCGAAATTTCTTTCGCTTTAACCTACAGTCGATAGCAACTTATACGTAAAATAAAAGTCATGATGGTAGCGATAGTGCACGATAAAATCGTGAAATACTGAAAAGGAGCAACAGAGTAAACGATTTATGCAGATTGTCATATGCTGAATGATACAATGAACAAAGGCTATGGGAAAAGCGGTGTCAAAACGGGTTCTTTGCTGGTGTCAACGGCTCACAACTTGCTCACATGTTTGCAGACGCGATAACGATTGTATCTGCTCAATCTCTCCTTCTTTCCACATAGTTTCGGAACGACGGCACTCCACTGAATGGACCACGACGGATTGCATCGATGTAATCGTTCATCGACTGATCATTGTAGTATCTTTTCTCGAAGCTGTTTAAACCTAAAAAAATATTGTTTTTCTAAATGTCGGGAAAAGTCATCGGAGCTTTTGTAAGGAGATCCTAGAAGTTTATGGGTTAGGATGCGCCACCGCATCCATCGCGCGCGAAACAGCGCTAACGCGTGAGCGTGAGATACCAGTGTCAACTTGGTCTGTGGCTATTTGCGGCGACGAACTGATTCACGCCTACTACTTCGCGACCTACTTTCGCGTACAATCTCTTTCCGGGGGATATTGAAGATTTATTGTAGAGAGAGGGTGATGCTCGGAATGATGAAGCGAAGGTGAGAGTCTCCGATCTAACGTCGACCGAACTAGGTCACCGCAAATGTCGTGCGCAGCACACACACGCGATTTCGAAGCAATCACATTGGAATCGTGAAAAAAGGTTCTGCGGGTTGAAATATTTCTTCATGAGCGGAGATTTGATGTAATATCGAATGTATCTGTGCTGCAGCTGTCGGGCACATCCCTAGACGGGACCCTTCTACAATTCACTGATTATTCCCAACTTATGGCTACCTCGTTTCAGTTCTCTACTCTTCACAAGTGAAGTGAACTGAACATCTTCCACTTCGCTTCTTACAGCACACATTCCTGTCAACCATTCACACTAAGGTGCAGAGGTGGCACTACAACAAGCTTGGTGGAAAGATGGAATTCTGAACCGGTATCCAATCGCTCCTACATCCTGCCCTTTATCTTCTTGAGATCGGGAAATTGGAACGACTATCTGGGAGGGGTGAACTATAATACCAATCTGTACCTTAGCTGCTTCACCCACCTATTCAAGACTTAGTATACGCCAAATAGGCTTCCAAACACCGTGAAGATGTCAAGTGGGTGTCAAATGCGTGTGCACGTTCTCGAACGGGACCAAAATCGGAAGCTAAGCTTCATTGCCTTAACGCATCCTAAGGGTACAACGACGAGGGCAAATTATGCAGATCATTAGGTTGAACCTGCAACAAACTTAAGCAGCCACCTAAGTGCGTGGCTCCTCCTCCAAGTTTTGCATGCAACTCAACTACCTTGCAATCGAATGGATGAAAAAGAAAACGAACGTAGAAGTGGTGGGTGGGTGAAGTTGGGGCTGTGAAACATGTCGAGTCAGCTACATCTTGATTGTTTTCTAAGAATCTTTCCACCGGCTAGGAGAAAAGATATGAAGCCAGCCTTGCATAACCCACTTAATGACGCACATTCAATTCCACTTGTCCGTCACATTCTCGGATCCTCATTTGCAAACTAAGTAAGCGTAATAGTTAACAATGTTAAAGGTCAATAGGTGAAGATTTATTGCAAAAGAAATGAAGCCTGCCTAATGAAGCGAAGATGATTAACTCGTCACAAAAGTTCTTTGCATTTGTGGTGGTAAACATCTATATCTGCACTTATATGAATACTTTAGGTGCGTGAGCGGGTGGATCGTACATCTCCCATTTGTGTATCACTCTTTTAACAGGCAAGGACAAAGGAGAGCATGCAGTTTCATAAGTGTCCCCGGCCACAAGTTTAGTGTAATTTCGATTGGAGAAAACCATACCGTACCCTATTCTTTGTGCAATGAGCATATTTTGCTTGGTCTACTTTCCCCGATCGATCCTGATGCTCTAGTCCTATGAGGCAGCTTCAAATACAGAGGCGCATTCCAAGAACGAGAATTGATCCCTTCAAGCGGTAACATCCATGGAATATCCAAATCTTGGACGGAGGTGGTGTGATGGCAAGTGACGCACTATCTTACATGCACGGTCACGTGTTCGAATCCCAGATCGATATCCAGCTGAGTCCACCAAGTCCATCACTTCGGGATCGGTTAATTGGTACCAGGCTTGCCTGAGAGACAAAAGCATTGACCTGTACAACGGCTGACCATCGCAAGTCATTGTGTAGGCCACATAGCATCCAATACGCCACTACGATTCTGAATGGAAGTCGAATGCGTGGGCGGATCCCTCATACGGGATTAATTAGCACCCCGAGACCTTATCCTTTTATACTTGTTATTTTATTTTGGCAAAAAAAAATGAGAAGAAAGAAATGATGATGCTAACCGTCTCCGAGATCGAGATGAAACGCCTCGATAGAAACCAAGAAGAAGCTGACGAGAACAATAACACTGACGAATGCTCTCAACGAGAACATCGCGCCTGAAAAACCGATTCATTCAGGTAAAGTTCGTGCAAAATCATTCGGAAGAGAATAGGAATTACCAAACAGTCAGTACAAGGCAGTGAGAGGATGTTGCGACGGATAAGAGAAAATCAGATAGAAGCGATAGTTGAAAAACAGGGATATCATTGTGTCACATGAGTTAGCCGCTTACATAATGGTGTCATGCTCGGGGAACTCTACGTAGGAATAACCTAATACCATATAGCTGTAATAAAAAAAACTCTTGAATACAATCTAAAAAACAGCCAAAAGGGGCAGAATTCCTGCAAAATTTATATCGAGACTAAAAATCTACTGGTCGAACTATAGCAAAAAAAAAAACGAGTAGAGTGTGTAATACATATTGAATTCTCAACAATTATAAAGCCTGAATTGCCACTGAAATCATGGCAAAGAGACATTTCAAAGCACGGCCTCCAATTTTCTATAATATTTATTATTATATGGACGATGAGGAATGGTAACGGACGCATGGCGGGTACCGCGTTGAACACTTCACTTGGCACACACCATGCGTTTTAGTCTCGAAAAATTACGTACAAAATCACAGTGGGATCAGATCAGTCCCTCAAAAAACCAAAGTGGCCAAAAGACGCCGGTGTAACAAGCTGACGATGGTGAACTGTCATCATAATGAGAGCAGGACCGCCAGGATGATTCAATCCTAGTGGTTATGACTGCGGATACTGGCAGTTCCAACTACCACGAAACTTCCTCCACAACAACAGACAGAAGCAGTTATTATGAATGAAAATCATGGTGCAGAACTTCAGTAAATCACTCATGACTTCTATATATACCCCAGTTTACAGCCGATCGCACTGGAAGGCACACCATGCTGAAGTTGTTTACGAGTGATTTCTTTGTTCTATCGCAAATGGATGTGGACCATACATCCGCCGCTGCTAATACGAGAGGGTTGTCTCCAAAAGACAATTTCCGGTGCATTCATTGTTCGGTCCCGTTGACAAATGACCAGCCTAATCCACCTACAACTTTAGCTGACAGTAGCATGAGATATTGTTGAAAAATGGGACGGCGCTGGGCGAATTATTTTTGTTGTGGCACATTCTTGACAACGAAAAGTCGGTAAAAGAGGGAATGTAATGTAGTGTAAATGCCAGGTCGTCCAAGCGAATGCGAGCCATGTCTTTTCAACCGCGAGTAACCGGAACTTGATGGAAACCGATGCGAATTCGCCTAGTTGGATTTATACCGGTTGCAGAAAGACGACAGGAAGCGATAGTTACCAGATCTCCTCGATCTGTGGGTGACAAACGTTTTCAGTAATGAACTTCAAAAACGATTTTTACTTTAAACAAATCTACTCAAGACGATTGTGGCGGTAGGGAGCATTGCCGAGCTCTGCTCGCTCGTTGGCAGCGCACAAAATTGCTCATCCTACTTATATAATCGGCTAAGTGTGTCTGTTGGTGTGTCTGTTGGTGTGTTTGTGTGTGTGTGTTTGTGTGTGTTTGTCTGACCGGAAATTCATAACTCCTGTCCCACTGGACCTAGGGCAACCAAATTTGAAAGGGAGTTAGGGGGCAGGATGGGAACACTAATGGCAGGTGAGGTGATAGGAAGTGACAACTAACGATAGAAACTGATAAGGAGCCTTAAAAGGCAAAGGCCTCAGGATCCGTAACTGCCTTCGTATTAGCGGTGAAGCTTTGGCACTTTCACAGGTGGTGTAGGATGTGAAGGGACCACAAATGTTTGACGACAGGGATTGATAACAACTGATAGGGACTGATAAGAAACCATAGAAGGCGAGAGCCACAAGGTCTGTAACGCACTTCCTTTTAATGATGGAATCTTGGAATTTTAATAAGTTACGTAAGATGTGACGGGATCGTAGGTACTCGGTGACGGGATCGAGAACGGTTGGTGCCAGGCAGGAGCTGATGAAACTGATAAGGGCTAATGAAAATCCTCGAAAGCGTAGTGCCACTATAATAACGACATTAGTAGTGGAGACGTGACAGTTTGGCGTGATGTGGAGTATGGCGTGAATGTAAACGACAGATGATAGGGACTGATAACAACTGATAATGAATGATAAGAGCAATTACCAACTGAATTTCACTGCTGTGGTTTCTATGATGTATTTATGATTACGACAATTATATTAGATTACGACCGCTACCCAGCAAGGTTTGTAACTCGGTGAAAGATCGAGGTTACTTAATGTTTTGATATCATTTACGACAAAGCTCATCCGACCGCCAATATTTTGGAATTCTCAACTAATGGTGTACCCGTGGAGGACAGAAGGTCCAATGATAACGAAATCTTACAATGTTGTTATTATCACTTGAGAACATTAACGAGTACTACTCAATTTTTCGTTTGCCTATCAGTTAAACCTTTTATGGTTCATAATTTCCAAGATGAAGAGCAACCGAATGACACTTTTAAGCGTGTGCATGTGGTGCACGCATTGGCGTGCGTAGCCCAACTGGTACATCAAGAAAAGCTTAATTCCATCGCGATAACAACAAATTCCTCGGAATTCACGATCATTTCTGCTGAATGGGTCCTACCCTCCAAAGGAAAAAGAAACCTATTCATGGAAGGTCAGGTCTGCTTATCACGTTTTTCGCAAAAACCCCTCTTGAGAACAGAAGCCAACTCAGATCTCATAAAGGAGCCTGAGTTGGCTTCACCCGCTGCATTTCATTCAGAGTTCCAGATGCAGCTGCCACACTTGGGAGGTTAGGCAGTGCTCGAGACAAAGTCGATCCCAAATCCGAATAAGAAGTGAGATTTTTGGCATCGTCTTGCCTTGCCCATTAAACAAATTCGCGCCTCGGTCTACATTCAATAGCGAATAGCCGTTTGCGTACACAACTGGCCAACACACGGACATCTAGGAGCCAGAGGTACAAGAGCCAGCGTTTTTATTTCTTCAAATAAGTCTGCTGCCATGTAACCGACCTTGAGGGTATAGGGGCATTGCTGTTCTAGGCGGACGTTAACCCTTAATCAATCTCCGGGCCATACTTGGGCTAACGGGGCCATTTGACGCTCCTTCACCACATCCGTCAGTCTTGTTCGAAACACCAAGTAACCACAAAACAAGTGATGAATGTTCGATCCACCTTATCACGAAATTCCTCATTTCTTTTGACATAAGATTGCGACGACTGTACCCGCTGTCCCTCACTTAAAGCAAATCGACGAAATGGCTGCCAAATGACTTGGGCGACAGCACATCATACACAGTCTAAGAGGTAGCCGCTGAATAAATTTTCCGGGACAAACCATGCTATCGAGTTCCAATCATATTGAAGGAATACGAGTNAGAGCTTCCATTGACCGGACGGCTTTCGAGTCCAAGTTGCTCTATCAACTAATTTCTGACGGATGTTTCTACTAGACCTGCCAATTAACTTGGATAACGCCATCTGATCAACTTGTCGAACCAGTGAACAGATTGACTCCAATTGACAATCATGGAGCTGGGATAGAGACTGGCCTTCTCTTCAACATTCAACTCACGACTTTCTGATAGAAAATGAATTGTACTGAGATCCTGCGACGTGAAATCTGCGCTGTTCCAGGATGAATATTCACTACCAGTCGTGGAAAAAGTATTATGTAGGGCAACATCAAGTGGAGTCGTTAGCATACAGTTGAATGCAGGATCATACCCCAATATGTCTGATGGAACTTCGACTTTCTCGGTTTTTTTGAATATCACTGTATTCGTCTGAAAAGCTACAAACAATTATGTCGCACAAAGAATAATTCTCGGAAGCTATTATATAGCGTCAGAGCGATTCAAGTGTGACTACGAATACACTTAATATCCTTTTCTTCACTGATACAAATTGGAATTGTACTGAAAGGACACCAGCAGGGGCCATACAGCAAGAGCGAACAGTTTTTGCTATAGTTTTGATTTCTTTTCACATTTTATTTTCGTGTCCAGTTCGTGACTAAAAATTTATTGGTCCGACTTGGCCCGTTGCATTTAACACAATCTCTGCGAATTTTTGCGATCGAGGGATTTTCGACACCTTAAACTTTACTTTCACATGTTCACTATTCAGCCTCTCGGCGTGTCTTGATCAGCAAAAGCGTGTCATAGAGAGATGGGAAAAACAGAGCAGGCAATATAAAGTAATATTTAGTAATGAAGATTGACACAGACGAAGAAAAAACAGGTTCAAAGTCTAAGAGAGCGAATGAACTGTTAAGAAAGTCAGCTCAGCGCTGCGAATAGCCTGAGCAGAAGACGTCCTCCACTTGTCTACTCAGCTGAGTTGCTCCGCCCACCATCAAGTTGCCTATAGGGGTGCCGCCTCGCCAAGTGCGTTTGAGACCTACAGTTGTCCTGAAGTCACTAGCGATTCGAAAAACTGACTTGCACGATCCGAAATCACTGACACATTCATACGGAAATGACGTGGAGGCTCGAGGGGCCGCTGTGGTGCTGTCTCAGTGAGATCGAGTCCCACATAGACCTTACACTTCTGAGTCACCTTCGCGATGCCTGAAGCGTTTGAGAAAAAGGCAAAGCCGGCCTAATTCCGCGCTGTCCAAATAACTTACCCACAAATCTAAAAGGCACTAACTGCCGTTGAAAAATCCAAGTAGGTGCTATGCATGGCCCACTTTTTGGAGGCTGATGACTACCGGCAATTCATTCCTGATCCAAAACCCTTGTCCCAAATGAGGGCAGGTCTAAATGTTCACTATCGTCGGGCAACTTTCATACAAGTCATACTCCGCTGTGAACAACGGATATAGCAGTAATGCACGTCATCGGTGACATATCGGCATAATGGCTCGTTCTCATGCATGTCATTTCGGTAAAAATTTCTTTTCTGCTTCACATATAAAAAAGCTAATTTCACCCAGTTGCTCTTTCAGCGACACATCACACGGTAGAACACTGGACCTAATGGCTCATATCCTTTATAGATCGGGAATTTCGAGTGGTTAAGTTGTCTTCGAAATAGCGATGGTTATAGGCACTGATTCACATCAGGTTTTACTCACCTTTATGAAACACGTCTCTAAGAGGTTACCTGTCAAGCTAGTCATTCGCAACGTTTTGAGGGAATTAGAGTGCACTGAAAAATTGGGAGTATCCATTCAGCTCAACCTTATCAACTCGGGAACTCCTACAGCACTGTTTGGGAGATCTTCTCGCCTGTTCACCAGCATACATAAATTAAGTAAGGAATTGCCTCAAAGAATTAAGGACAGATTCAATTTCCTTTCGTTCTCTGATTCCTGAGTAAGGCACTTGATTAAAAAAAGGCTATAGCAATTATATTCTAGCTACACCGCCTTGAAACTGACTGAAGAGCCTGAGAAATGGATAACCTAAAGGTGCAGTGACTACAAGCGCTGGATTTACCTTGTTCCACCAATCAGACCAAGTCCCGTCACAGCATAACAATCACTTCATTCTCATTAGACTAATTGTTTCGGTTTTCCATTTGGATACTGGTAAAGTGATATGAAAGCCTGTGACTAATCCTTGCCGGGCATAAACTCTCCTTGCTGTTCCGAATGTTTCCATGATTCTATGAGTGATGAATGCATGTCCGAGGCCGCTGAGTACAAAAGTCGCATTGTGAGAATGATGCTTACAGTCCTTTGCAGTCCTTTTCAATGGAGATGAAGATTGTGAGAATCCTCGTGGGATAGGGAGTAAGCCGGTCAAGTGAACAACACCGTTGTTCGTCATGAGAACGACTGATCGTGGAGGAATAGAAGCATCGTATGGCTATTTGAGGTAATCGAAATCTCCTGAAGTGAATCACGTCGAAGCACCTCCATAGCTCGACTCGAAAGAGTGAAATTTTTTTTTGTTTTTTTTTTTTNGGGGGGCTCCATGACAAAAGTGTAAGCAGACAAGCAGACATTGTCCTGGTAAGAACTATCCATAAGAAATAGGCAGAGCTGCATGAGTATAGGAATTGTGCGAGAAGTGAAGGTATGGGCGATCATGGATAGATTGAAGAACTGGGGATCATTTTCTTGTTCTAGACCTGATCTCTGGGAATGACAGGACAACCCAGTATAGGACGAGCTGTCTGGAAGCAAAGTTGTTGCTATCTTCTCGTACTCAAAGTCAATAAAATAGGATGAAGTAAACGAAAATCGATTTCAGAAGTTATGACATAATGTCTCATGAAGGGAACCAATAGATTCGAAAGCATTGGCTCTTGTATGCCCGAGCGTACTCTTGTAATTAAGATGGAACCGTTTGTGTTCTTCTCATGTTCTGGATCTCATCCCACTTAGGATGACCGCCTCCAGCGGCTACTAATTCTCATAATCTCTTAACGCAGTGTAGCTGAAAACAAATTGGCCTGCCTCAACACTGAAAATTGTCTTTGAGCCCTTTGGGACGCCTTCAGAGTAAGTCTGATTAGAAAACCGCATGGGGCCCTCTCCCATCTTTCGAAGGGAAGAAGATTTTCTAAGCAATCTTCGTAGCCGATGCCCTGGAAGCCTAAATTTCTTAAATAAGGCAATCGTAGCAATTTCCAAGGAAGAAATTTCTTTAGGCCTCGCAGAAGCTTTTGCATAGACTAGAACTGGTACGCAAATGATCCTCTTAGGGAACTCAGAACTAATGAAATACTTATTGACATCGCTGCCTTTTTGTTTTGCCTTAGGTGGTTCTCAAACCCATCAAGCCCCTGACGTGCTCCAAGGCTTTCACACCAGAAAAACTCATTCGTCACGTTGGATATGCATATCCATGTGCATGCATATATCCAATATACAAGAACATGTCAAGATGCATGACGCATAGATCTTAATTCACTTATGCACCCTCTTTGGAAGCCTACGCTTTTTTTGTCGGACCTTGGACTAACATGCAAAAGACAACGAGCATAGTGCATGAGTCAAGCGAATTCTTCAGACTGTGCGGAGATACGATCCCATCACCGTGGACTATGTACAGCGGTATTAAGCAGAACATCGAAACAATAACCCACCTTGTCCTATTTGTCCACCAAATACTAGCATAGCTGGTGATCTCAGGGACTTCTACAGCAATACCCACCCCATCACCCTCCTACGATAGCGAATAATTTGGTCTGCTGAGAGCTCGAAAAGAACGGATCGCATACAAAAAAGGTCTTTCAATCACTGTGCCATCATAATAGTTTGAGGTTAACTCTATCTTGCAAAAAGCTCATATCCTTCTTAACCACAACGAAGACTATAAAGATTTTTCGCTTTCCAAGACTGCTAGTTTACTATCAGCTAAATAAAAATTGCACATATACGCCAGCATACGTATGCTATCTCTTTTAATTATAATGCGATTCGGAACTGTACGTTTGTCACTATAAATGGGCGTGATCTGTTGGGATGGGCGTGTCTGTTATATATATATATATATATATATATATATATATATAACANTTCTTGCCGGTCAAGCCGGTTAAAGCATGCGCTGTTCTTTTTGAATTTTTCAAATTCTAGCTACATATATATATATATATATATATATATATATATATATGTAGCTAGAATTTGAAAAATTCAAAAAGAACAGCGCATGCTTTAACCGGCTTGACCGGCAAGAAAGGAACCTGTCACGGGAAATTTTCGAAAGCTCTCACATGTATGTACACTGTTCACATAAAAGTATCTGATGGCACTGCTCCAGAATCGGTCTCAAAGCCACCTTGCGGTTCCGAGCAAACTACTGAGATGAAGGAAAGTCAGAATCTGCCCAAACCAACCTAGGCAATGTTTTTGGCTGTAGCACGCTATCATCAATTTTTCATAGTATTTTCATGTCAAAGACCAATCAAGCAGACATTACTCAACCTCAACAAACACCTTGTGATCGCTGCCATATTAATACAATTCAAAAAACGGAGGGTAAAATACCATAGCATATCAATCACCGAGATATCCGAATAGCATCAACCACCACCAATTACCATCTACATCTAAAAGCCAAGAACCAACGTACCAAGTTTCAAAGAATGTGCTTTGGTTAGCAGGGTGGAGGGATGTTTTCAACAAAATCACTATTACAGTATAACTTCTGCAATGAAGCAAGAATTACCCAATTATCATTGTTTTGACATGCTATATTCCAACTCCCATCACAGTAATTACCATCACGTAACGAAGCCATTATCCTGACCCAGGGGACACTCAATCCTTTGAAGGCTAATGAATCAAATGTAGTTGCTTCTCAGCTCCTAACTTCACGTAAAAGATTGAAAATGAGGGCTGGCGGTGTGTCGAAGGAAAATGAAGAATAGGAAGATAAATGGAAGCCTTCTTAGGCTATATCGCAGAGTTCCCAGCGCTAGTGTCCCATCCAGTCTAAGCTAATCTTCTACCAGGTGGTCTTTCCTATTAGGTCAGTTGAGAGTATCAGGCAAGAGCTTCGCAGAAGCCCAGACTACATAGTTTCTTTCTCTTCAGGAAGTTTCCATGAAATTGCCCGTATTTGCGCACAAGATAGCCTGCCCCCTTCTTTGCTTACGTGACCTTATAATGGCGTTTCCCCATATTCATAACATACCTTCACGAACAAGACTCTAGACACCCCGCTACTAAATATAATACAATCGAAATTACTAAAAAACCTGAACTTTCGTGAAATTTCCGGCCGTACTTTCTGAACACCTCAACAGCTCCCGCTGAACACCACAACAGCTCCCATAAACTTTTATAAAGGCATGTTTGCCACTTGCGCACGCCGATTGTCGTCACTGGATCGGTCTCTACATTACACTATAATAATATTACTTCATAAGCACAATACACAAAGAATATGAAGTACTCTTTTCAATATGAAAAGCGAAGGAGCTGGCGAAGAAGATCGTTCATTGGTGGCGAGTAATGCAAAAAAGAATCGATTATGTATTGAAAGAATAGTTCGTGGAACATAAAGCTTCCTAAATGTAGTGAAAGGAGGGGTTGTACGAGATTACCGTGATGGAACATCACGATGCATGATGCCATAAAAGGGGTATATGAACGAGATCCCAGTTGTAGTTGCGTGAAGAGCTGGCTCCATTCAACCAGAAATATCAAAATTTTACTGTCGACATAGGTCACTACTAGCTCTTTGAATTTTTAACATGTGCGTCCTATTGGCAACCTCTACAACGCCGCTGAAACTAGACCGTCTCTGGGCGTGGCTAACAGTGGATACGGAAGATATGGAAGATGTAGGCGACCGTTTATCGTTGGATCACCCAGTGGCACTGGCGTTTTATTCGCAGCGTAGCCTCAGAAGTCACTTTCCCCTCACACCGACATTATTTCGTCTCAGATTTGAGGTTCACAAAAAAAGTGGATCGAATGCACTCCTAACTGTTGAATTCTGTTCTTATCGCAAGTCTGACACTGCAAGAGGTGCGCAACTTCTAAGGCGGCTTGCCTATAAACTTAGCGCCTCAACTCCTCGGACCATATCTACTTGTGTATAAACTCAAGAATCTCGGATTACCACAAGAGCTCGACCTTAGTCAGATCAGTCATACGTGCACGTCTCCATTTTCAATGCCCTCTTGAAATGCGAGCAATCGGGATGACTCAGTTCTTCTTTTATGACCACCCACTATTGGAGTAGTAGTGAGTAACGGATGAAGAAAGGCGCTTGCATGGAGGCTCGCTCGGGCCTCTCATCTTTCCGAAAGTACATATCATATCAGGAACTTCATACGCAGTATATGTGCTAACACTGTTGGCTCAAGTTAACATCATGATCATCATTCATCATGCAAAAAATTCCACACATTCTATTACAGAGGACTTGAAAATTGGCATATGCATTCTCGTTATAGAGCTTGCGAACAACGAAGCGTACCCAAATTCGACAAAAACTGATGCAAAGGAGTAGTATAAGGGAGCTGCTTATTATTGTCATTATTCGGTAAATTAGATTACCTTATTGAACCTGTCCGCATGATGAATGGTCACATTTGGATTGGGGAAACCAAGAAGAGTATGTGAAAAGCAAATTACAGTTTCCGTATGTGACTCAGGAGTTGGAATGCAGTGATGTGGTATTGCTAACCGAAGCAAAGTAGCACGTAGGACGA